GGAGAAAAGTCTCTTGTTTTCCTGGAGACTCAACATACTAAGAAAAAAATAAACATTATGGGAAGGCTGACAATGAATTATCAGGCACCAGGCCACATGCCATTGGGTGCATTTTCCTTAAGAGTATGCTTCCACTGAAAGTTCAAGACCATTCTTGAGAATTTTTTCAGCAAATAAGGTAGTTTCTAGTTTGGAGATCAAACAGGAAAGGCAGGACAAAGTAGCTGAGATAAATTACACTGCATTTTGAGGTTTTTTCCAACAATTTACTATGCTATTTTGGTGGACAGGAACAGCAGAGTTGAACATTACTTCCTCTAGCATACACAGGAGGAGTTCTGGTGGCTTTGTCTGTAGAGAGTTGCGCTGTTAACCCAAAGGCTGAACCTGTCTGAATCCACCAGTGACTCTGCAAGAGAAGGAAAGGAAATCTTCTCTCAGGCAATTCATAATTCTTGAAACAGACTGGAGGGACATCTATGAGTTGGCTGTAATTCAATGACAAAGATGTTCTATGAGAGCAAACATACAGCTCCTTTCCTTTGAGCAAGTAAATATTTTAATTAATAAGAAATGTAATCTTTTATGAAAACCACAGTAACCAGGTCTTTCTGCAGTGTAAGTGAATATGGAGGTTTCCAATTCTGCAAATAAGTGTAGAAGAGAGCTCAATCTAGGTTTTATGATTCCTTCGGATATTTAGTAATCTCTCTGAAGGTGAGTCTCGAACTTTTTTTTTTAATTATTTTATTTCAGATTTATTTGAATATTTAAAGAAATGTCCGTGTCCTGCAGACCTGATTCTAAGAACAGGTACTGAATTACAGGATCCCTGGCTTCTTATTATTTTAATATCCTGGGGAGAGGTAGAACTATCTAGTCAAAGTGCCCCTTTCAGTGGTGGGCATTTGGGCTTTACCATCTGGCATCTCAAATGAACATTGTATCTTTTGGGAAAATTGCCTGCAGGTGACAGGATGCAGCATATTCTTGTAGATGTTCAATAAGTCTTTTAATAAAAAGAGAGCCCAGTGTTGGATGTCTCTAACAAACATTATCTGGTGTTGAAGAATAGAAAGCTATAAAATCCTTTTCCACGTGAGATCTTTTAATGGCATCGTCCTCATAATCCTCTGTATCCTGCGAGGAACTGCTTGCAGACATTTTTACTGAATCCTGTAGCCACACCACTCCTTGGTTTTCACCTTGGCATGCCTGGATAATGATCACTTTGGGTTTGTCCTTCAATTTTGGACAGTTTCGAGTGTTCAGCATTTGAAATATGGAGTTGACGTGTAAGACATCTGAATTTTCTTCAGAGAAATTCTTCCCACAAATACCATCCTGAATACCATGGGACATGAACACCAGGAAGGTGCTGTCGGATTTCTCATGCTCTGGGTGGGCAGCAAATGTCGTCAGTTTTGCTGTCATGTCTGAAGCAGTGAGATCTTGTTTCACAATCACATGGTATCCCAGTCCTTCTAGAAGCATCTTCATCCCACTGAGATCAGCCTCAGCACCACTCCTCTTAGGAAGACTCTTAAAACCTGTGTTTCAGATAATGAGTGCAAGACGTGTGCGATTGCCTTTTTCTTTCACTGGATAAATTTTGAATTCTCTTCAAGTATATCTTTCGCCCTGATCCTTGTGCTATGGCCATAGCACCTCTGATGCCATTTTCTGCTGCATTAATCGCGCTGTATCTGGTGAGCAGAGTTTAAGAATTCCTCCTGATCCTGAGTTCTTTGCTGGGTTATCCTGTACTGTCAAGGAAGCTTGCATGAAAAGTAGCTCTGCTGGCAATTCTTGTGTACTGGAGTCTTTCACAGACTGTGGATCTGAGGTGAATCCCAGTTTCTCTTCAAGGAAAGGATCTTCACGAATATGACTGATACATATCTCACATGCCCGTGGACCTTTCTTTATAATGGAGTCAATCAAGACTCGGGCTTTCTCCATGACTGTAGCGTTTTCATCTCTAATTGTCTCCATCTCCTCCTGCTTCAGTACTTTTTTTTCTAGTAGTTCATCCAGCAAGGTATTTATTGTTCCTTTGCTCATTGCTTGGATAAACAACTTCCTCTTCACCCTCAGAATGTTGTCTTTGGGAGAACATGGCCGCCGACTCTTCTTCCAGGCTGGAAGCCCTGTGCTGCCACCTTAAACCCTAGGCCAAGCCTGGCTTGCCTGGCTCCTGGAGGCAGAGTAGTCTTTTGTGTCCAAAAACTACCACAACACCCGCCCAAACAGAGACTAGAACTTCTAATGGCTCCAAAATGGGGTGGCAAAGTATCTACCTGGGTGTGGCAAAACAACAGAATTTCTACCTGTCTTCATTTTAAAAAAAGAAAATGTACTTTATTAATAGTTCACATATAGCTTAGCATTAATACATTATTTCATCCTTAGTCACATGTCGTAAATAGAATGGGAGGTGTCTCAAAGCAAAGAGGAAGTTGCTGTATAAGTAGCTGACAGTGGACCTACTCTGACCTCATTCATTTCCAGAGTGCTGGGAAGTACTATAATTTAGGAGTGTCCAGTAACTGGATTTTACAGCTTCTCCTACCTAGTTCTTTCTTCCACTTTGTACTTATTTTATATTGGTTTGCCTACAAAATTCATATACATAGTATATCATTCATGTACCTTGCTTTTCACACATTTCTACATTCACACTGTGTGTTTCAAACTGATTGCTCATACACATTGTAGTTTATAAAATTAATCATCACTGACTCATCCTACTATTGCTGCTTTTTTTCAGGTCTACATTGGATCTTTGCTAATTCCTTCACCACCACCCCCGCCCGCTCTTATCCTAGTGATTCCTCCCTCCCTCCCACCCCTACCTGCGGCTTTCATACACATCTTACTAGTTATCCTTCTATTTTTATAATAATGATCTTATGCAGTATTTGTCCTTATGAGGTTCAGTTGGTTCACTCAGCATAATATTTTCTAAACTCACCCATGTTTTATAAAATCATTGCTCCTTTACGACTTCATTTTAATGAAACCAGTTTCAGAAAAGGCATCAAGAACGTGAAAGAGAAAAAGATTTATCAGGGGAAACTACTTATTTGAGATAACATTAATGATGTAAGCATAAAAAAAGCCCACATATTAATATACATATTTTACAGATGAAGACCCGCAAATATGTTTACTGATAGGATGCACAATGAAGCCCAGAGTTACAGAGTATCTTCAGAAAAAACGAAGGTATCTAACTTATGGATAGATTTATTTGGACTAGTTAATTAAGAATTTAGGAACTCGTATACATAGTATTAATGTTAAATGATACTTAACATACAGTAACACCTGGCTTAACAATTAGTGGATTTTGTACATTGTGTGTATTTTATCTTTTCTCTCTCTCTGCTATTCCTATTTGTCTGTACGCGTTTGCTGAAATGGAATTCAGGGTAAACCCTAAGACAGAAGCATAGGTCTCTTAGAATACAAAGTATTTTTAAAAACACAAAAGATACTAAAAGGCAAAATTTTACAATAATTACATTATACTACTTTTATTTTAGCTTTGTTTGTGAATAACATCCAATGTACAACCAGAGCATTATACAGTTTAAATAACAAAAAGTTATTATAATATCTGCGAATATAGAATACTTACTCTATGTAGAAGCTCATTTAATGATCCATTTGGCATGTATTCAGTAACTATTCCCAAAAATTCAATCTCATTGCAAATTCCCAGGATTGGAAGAATATAACTAAATCTAGCTTTGTGTAAAATTTCAGCTTCTCTTAAGACATCATTTCTTTCACTAAGGAAATAAAACAAATAATTATTTTCAGCAATGAAAAATGCACAATGACTAGACCCCTAAGGTTAAAGAAGCCTAGATTTTTCCTCATTACTTCATTGATATGCCACACTATGCGATTTCTACATCCCTTGTTGCCTTTAGGTGCCATCGAGTCACCTGAGTCCCCGGAACACCATGAACAACAGATCTGAACCTTGCTCTATCCTGAACCATCCTTTCGATCTGTCATGCTCAAGTCCTGTGATGGTCACTATGTCCACCTATTCGCTGAGGGTCTTCCTCTCTTTTGTTGACCCTCTACCTTTGCCAGCATGCTGTCTCTTTCTAAGGAATGGTTCCTTCTGAAAATATGCCCAAAGTGAGAAAAGTTTCACTCTCCTTGCCTCTAAGGAGCACCCAGGTTGCATTTCCTACAACCCATTAAAAAGCAGGGAACTGGAGGTTTATCCTTTCTCCATACTTACACCCCCTTACTGTCAATGTATTTAAAAGAGGAATGATATCTATTGACTTATCCCATAGGTTTGTTTAGAGATCAGAATAATTTCTATAACCCATTATCAGGTAAAACTGTTATATAAATGTTATTACTGTACTCTTCCTAGAAAAGGGACACAACACAGTGTTCTAGACAAAGTTTATAAAGTCTGTCTATACTAAAGTTGACAAGTCTTTGTAACACAGTAGTTAAAGCTCTCAGCTACTAACTGAAAGATTAGCAGTTCAAACCCAGAAGGCAGCTAGAGGAGTCTACTTCCAAAAAGATTTACAAACTTAGAAACCGTACAGGGTAGCTCTATTCTGTTGAGAATAAGCCAGGGTTGATACCTAAAGCTATTAATTCTTAAGTTAATTAAATTAAAATTGTAATTAAACTATCAGATTTTATTAGAATAATATATTTTATTCTTATTATTTACCAAATACCCTGAATATTAAAAAAAACTTACATAGCCATATGATAATACTTGCATAAATGTCAATGATAGGTAGAAATTATATAATGAAATGCAGAAAAAACATGGAAAACAGGTAAATGCTTAAAACCTCTTATCATGTAACGCAGGATCCTGTGTTCGTTTGCTTATTCATATATAAGGCAAGGCAATATTACAGTTTTACTGTGATTAAAGTTCTGTGTTTGGCATGCTAGGAAATAAAGAAAAAATTAATGGCTACATTCAATATATTTAGACATCTTGTAAAACACAGTAAGAGCATAAAATTAAAAGGCAGAATGTGGTATAAGTGCCATTAAAAAGTAAAAGTATGAAGGGCTCTGAGAGTTCAGAACAAAGAGTAAACTGGGGCTAGAGGAATTACAGCCGTCTTCAGAGAAATAGGATCAGAAGTGGGATTTGAACTACAATCTCAAGGACAGCCAACATTTCAACCACTGGAGAGAGGGCAGCCAACATGAATGAGGCCTCCACAAAGGGCGGTTATTATTGATGAGCTGACCCATAGCTGACCCTCACATGGATATTCAGAGGCAGTTAATCGCACTGAATGAGACTGCCCACCCGTCTCCTGTGGAGCAGCTGGTGGATTAGAACAGTTAGCCTTCAGGAGTACAGTGCAGCTTCTTGCCACTAGGCCACCAGTGAGAGACAAATGGCAATGTTTTAGCTCTTTACTTCTGGGGAGCCCTTTCATGTGATTTGAAACAGTGCCTGGTGCAAGGCAGAGATGTTCATTGATATGAATCAAATTAATTCAATGAACATAAAGTAAAGGCTATGATTGGAAAGCAGTGAACTGTTTAATACAGGTAAGCTTAGGCAACAGAGTAAAAGGAGTGAAGGCAAGTTTGGTAGGTCACATCTCAGAGTCTTAAAGTCTTACTAAGGTGTTTGAATTTTATTGGTGGGTCACTGATGATTTCTGAACAAGGGAGTGGCATCAGAAGAACACATTTTTAAGACGACGACCTTGACAACAGGATGTAGTATGAGCAGACAGGACTAGAGTGTGAAAGTCAGATGGTAAGTGGTTTAACAAGGGTTAGGACATGAAGCAATGACAATCTGTAAAGAGAGCAGTGGAAGTAAAAAGGAAAACACATCTGCTGGATAGAATACCAAGACCAGTGAGTGACTGACTACCTAGTCAAGAATTCAGAAAATAAAAAAAAAAAAAAAAGAAGGGAACTGGAAGTTTATCACTTTTCACCCACTAAGGCAGCAACAACACAAACACCTCAAGGGACTATTAGGTAAGTGGCGATGATTCAACCTCCTGATGAATGAATGACTGTTGAAATAACAGCAGCAGACATTCCGAAATAGATTACAAAGTCTACATGAAAAACAAGTAACAAAAAGGAAACTAAAAGAGCAGAAAGTTTAAAAATAGTTATGTTTAAGGGAAAAGTTGTAAGAGGGCAAAGTGCAAAGTTTCTATCTGCTATCAGTCATCTAATACCCTGTAAGGAAACCATATAGATCAAGTTTTGAAATCTGCTTTCATGAAATTTACAAACAAGGAGCTCTGGTCTGGTGCCACAGTGTATAACAAAGTTGGTAACCATTCAAATCCACTAGTCATTATGAATGAGAAAAGGGAACAGGATGCTTCTCTAAAGAAGTACAGGCTGAAGGAGAGGGTCACTATAGGCTGGACTCGGACTCTATGCAGTGAGTTGCATGGAAATCGTCCTGCATTTACTTTCCTGGGACAAACGGTTAAAATGCTCGGCTGTTAAAAAGAACACGGGAGGTCTGAATTCACCGAAAGATGCTTCAAAAGAAAGGTCTGGGGATCTAGTTCCTTCAAACCCAGCATTTTTATGGCCTAACAGGTTCTAGAATATTTCTATCCTCTCTGAACCACCATGACCCTTGCAGGCTGACTCTATACACACACTTGCTCAAGCACTTGCCTCCTATAAACAGACACCACACACACCCTGTAGATCACTGGATGTGGACAACAGTATATAAAAATGTGGGAAGAGTCTCCAGAAGTGTCCTAAACCTGTGAGATGAGGTTCATCAAGCCTGGTATGGCAAAGAAAAACTGCAGAGTCAGATACCCAAGCAAAGCTGTTGAATGATACAGTGGATACCAGAGGCTCTGGACAATCAGATACATGCTATCTTTGTTATGTACCATTGAGTAGGAAACGACTCCTAGTTGACCCTGCAGCAGGTTTTCAGAGGCAGTAACTTGCACAGGAGGAGAATGCCTGCCTTTCTCCTGTGGAGGAGCTAGTGGAGTCCAACTGGGTGTCTTTCAATTGGCAGCACCACTCCTAGACACAAGGCCAGCAGAGTTTAACTTATTCTCACATTAGATATTGGGGAGGAGAAGAGAATCTAATAATCATGAATATTAACTCCCTTGAAAACGGAATGCACGCCTTAGTTAGATCCCTCTGAGAAAGAGAGAAGGCAGGACAGACCAGACCCACTGACTGAATGACATAATCACAGGTTTACAAGGTTGTAATATTTCTCTGGAGGAGACACTAGCACTAGCTTTCCTGAAAACCTGGACATCATACTAAAATTGTCCCTGGCTGTAAGCGACATTCAACAGTCTTTGACCATTTAACACTCTTTGATTCAGTTTACTGCCAGAGCCAAAAAAACATACAAAAAACCCCCAAACAAAAACTCACCCCCCAACACACACACACACACACACACACACACACACACACACACACACACACATTCTCTAGGATCTTCCCCGGGAGAAAGTGCAAAAAGGAAACTTTCATTTTGAGATTGATCCTGAAAGTTCAACAAGATCCAGTGCTGAACTACAAGCAAAATAGAAACAGAAGGCTCAAAGAAAACTTCATTCAGCTCTAGGAGGCAGCGCTGTCCAATTATGCAAGCCCTGTGATTTCAAAAGTTCTAGTAGTCACATTAAAAAAAACAAAAAAAAAACAACCCAAAAAACAAAACTCAAAACCAAACTAAACCAACGAAAACCCCAAACCACACAACCCACCTCCCATAAAATGAATTCTGATAGCATCGTTTATAATATTACAACATATTATCGCTATATGCCGATTAACGAACGTTTCAATTCTTCGAATGCAATGTTTGAATCGCAGTGTGCACGTGCACTGGAACACATTTCCATTTCACAGCCACAGATCAAGCGCTCGATTAATCATTTTTGACTAATAATAAAAATGGGATTTGAAAGACCGGCTCCCCCCACCTACCCCCGCCCAAGCAATTAAAAAAAACCACACCCGCGATATAGGTACATCGCTTTCAAAGACGAGGGCAGCGAGAGTTAGGCTGCGAAGCCGAGTTTTGCTGTCTGGAGAAGCCCGGGATAGTATGAAGGGAGGACTGGAGGCAGCACAGGTAGAAAGCTGCAAGGGCGGGACGCAGAGAGAGGCGGTGAGGACGAGCCGAGATTCACTGTGCATCCGCAGAGACGGGGCTCGAACAGCTGGTCCAGAGCCCAGGGGTAGGGCGACCCCGGCGATCGTGGCTGTTACGGCTCGTGAGTCCTCCCGCCCGGGAGGTGTCCAGGGAAGGGGTGCCGGCGAGCTAAGGCCCCTACCTGTCGAGCAGCGGGGTGTGGATGTGCAGGTGCTTCACGGCCACCTGGACGCGCCAGTCCGAGTGGCGGGCGGACGACACGGTGCCCGAGGCGCCGCGGCTCAGGTAGCGCAGGTCGGCGAGCTTTTGGTAGGGGATGGTGGGCAGGGCGCTGCAGATGGCCTCGCCGTCCATGGCGGCGGGAGGCGCGGGCGCTCGGGCCTCGGGCCCCGGGACGGGGCGGCCGGCGGAGGCTCTCGGTGCTCGCAAGACGTCAGGTGGCGAGGTCGCCCATGGCCCCGCGGCCCACGCCAGCCACGGCCGGAGCCTGCGCTGCTGCAGCTGCTTTTCCGGGGCCGCGACCGACTTCTCGAGGGTCCAATCGACGGCTCCGCCGCGAGGAGGAGGTCCCGGCCCGCAAGCTCCTCCTCTTCCAAATTTCGCCGGCGACGCGAGCGGCGGCGGCCCTGGGAGCGGCTTCCAGTCCCGACCCGAGGCCCGCGCTCCTCCGCCCGCCGGTGTCGCACCGCTTCGGCTGCCTTCTCCTCTCTGGCGGGGCCTGGGAGCCCTCCTTTTGTCTCGAAGGATGGAAAGGTTTGGCTTTTGGGAAAGTCCCTTCCTGCTGTCGGCTGGCCGGTTTCCGATTGGTCAGCGAGCCCTCCCACTCGGGTGAATTCTTAATGTCCGCCGCGTGTTGTCTGGGAAGTTGCTCAACACCGGAGATGAGGCGTGGGGACCGGGAGCCGGGGCCGCCTCTGCGCCTGCGCGGAGTGCGCTCTGCCCTGGGCGCGCGTTCCCAGGGCTCCAGCAGGAGGATCCCAAGAAAGGGTCAGTGCACCTGCCCGCTAGATTCCTGTCTTGCTTCACTTGGCAGCTCCTTTGGGAAGGAGGGGTAGATGACGAAACTTCAGAGGGGAATCTATTCTGCTGTTTACCTATTGATACATGCTCTTTTGCTAAAAATTTATTTTCTTCTCTTCTCCCTATCCAGAGTTACTTATGGAGATGAAAGTGACCTTGAAAAAGTCCATCTAACTCCTGCAAGACTACAAAGATCTTTTAAAAAATATCAGAGGATTGAAGTAAATTTCTAATGCCAGCGGTGGGGAAGACTGTAGACCTTTCCCTTTATTTTCCCAGTTAAAAACGGGAACAAACAAAATCCACTTTTCTACTTAAATGATTACTTTAGGGATAGTACAACTGTTATATAAGGTATCACTAAGGGTATGTAATGGATTCCAATCCAGTAGTAAGGAATACCTGATTAAATAGTAAAGGATTTCTGCCTATCAAAACTCAAACTCATTTTGGTAGTCGGAACCCCCTCATAGCTGACCCTCCAGTGGGTTTCCGAGGTTGTAAATCTCGTAGGATGAGAATGCCCATCTTTCTCCAGTGGGGCTTCTGATGGATTTGAACCCGCAGAGGCACGACCTCTTAAGTTGGCGGTACCAATCCCAATGGACAAAGCCACCCGGATTTCCTTTCTGCTATTTCCTTTCAATATTTCCCGTGTTTGTGCACAGCGACTAATTGTTAGGAAATAGTTTGCTTAAGATTTTGATGCTAATAATAATAAAAAAAACCTTAGTTCTTATCTAAGGATAAGGTCTGATATGGAGTACTTTATTATTGAACAGTTTTTGCTCCTAAAAGTGCTAAAAAGCTTTCACATTAATCCTACTATCTACAGCCATCTCACAAACTAAGAGTTAAACAGAGAGAGAGAGAAACAACTCCCCCCACCAAAAAAAAAAAAATCAGCAGGCAGGGAATTTTCCAAATTCAGGACTGAAGGACAAGCGTCTGTAGGTGGAAAGGACCCACCCACGTATCCAAATGGAATCGGAAAAAGAAACCAAAATATCCTAAATCAAACCCGTGCCCTCTAGTTGCTTATAACTCACAGTAAAACTGCCGCAAGAGTTTCTGAGGTTGTACATCGTCATGAAAGCAGACTGTTGAATCTTTCTCCTGAGAAACAACTGATAGATTCAAACCACCAACTTTGCAATTAGTAAGCCACTGCTTAATCCTCTGTTGTTGCTGCTGTTGTTAAGTGCCCCTTGAGTCAGAACAGATTCAGAGCCAACTCTGCAGATGTTTCTGAGGCAGTATATCGCACAAGAGAAGATAACCTTTCCTTCTCCCTTGGAGCAGCTGGTGGATTTGAACTATTTGGTATGGCAACACAACTCTGTTACCCATCAGACCACCAGATCTCCACTGGTCACCAGGGTCCTTGAATTGAAGAAGATCAGAACATTAGGAATAAAGTGAAAACACAAAGATTTTGGAGAAAAGAATATGAAATACAGGAACGGGAATTTAGTATTTATATTATATTTTTACTTACGTTTAATAATAAGCACAAAATTAAAGAGTGAAAATTATTCAAAATTTTATAAAAGAACTTCCATCCTTGAGTTCCATACTTAGCTAAACTGTGTAACCAGTATAAGGGTAAAAGAAAAATATTTGCACATCTCGCTCACTCATTCACTGCCATTGAGTCAGTTCCACCTCACAGGAAACCTTCACTGGCTTTCCAAAGCCGAAAATCTTAATGGAAGGGATTGCCTGTTTTTCTCCAGAGTGGCTGATGGATGTAAACCACAGGAGACCCTAGTCTCTGGGTTAGCAGCATAACTCAACTACAAATTTTCACCTGAGCCCTTAGTTTACAAGTAAAGGAATGTAAACAGTTGCTTTTCATTTATGAAAGCTGCTAGGAAAGATACCTCAACAAAAGATTGGTGAAGGGGGTGGGGGAGGACATGAGATCCAGAAAACAGAATCAAGATAATATAAAAGGAAATTCCAGGATGAGACATTTGTGACAGAGTGGAAAACAAACCATTTTCTGGAGCATAGAGGGGGCAGGCTCCAAGAGGAAAGGCTCTAGAAAATGATTTTGACATAATCTGTTGTTTAATTTTGAGTATTTGGGAAACTATATTAATTGATGATATATCTAATGATAAATACTGATCTGTGATATAGCTATGAAAACGTGATATATCTGAAAAACCGTACACAGAACTTACAAATATTTCATTCTTTGGAAAATAAAAATTACAAAACAGCATTTTTAAAAATGGTTTATGGTGCTAGACAGGTAAAAAGTGTGGTACTAAAACTGATGTAGCCTCTGTGACCCAGAAATTCCTTTTGTAGGCATGCAGATATCTCTATCTCACACATTATATTGTTTCTAATAGTTTGATTTATAATAGCATTAAATTATATATAGTCCATAAACAGAAAGTACATAACCTGTGGTTTCTTTACACAATGAAATACTAAAGACAAGGAGATTAAATAAACTATAAAAATACTGTTTATAAACAAAGCCAGACACAGAAGAGAACATACTTAGAGCCTATTAATATGAAATATAAATGAATCTGTCTTGTGAACAACTAAGATTATGTCTTGTAGGGGGCAGGTCATGACTAGAACGGGCCCTAATGAAGCATCCAGTAATACTGTGTTTCTTGATTTAGAACCTAGATTCTAGGTGTCAGTTACTTGAGTGTTTTTGGTTTATAAAAACCTGTAGAGGTTAAACTTATGTATACTTTTTTAAATGTATCTTCAATTTTAAAAAAAGGTTGAAAGATTTAAATATAAATATGTAAACACTGTTCACACTATACACACTATTCACTTTGCTGTTCCTATAACAGTATATCTTTTATATCTTTGCATGTTGTTGTTAGGTGTCATCAAGTTGAGTATGACCCATAGCAAACCTGTGAATAAAAGATCTGAGCCCTGTCCTATGCCATCCTCACACTTGCTGACACACTAGAGCCCTTTGCGGCAGTCACTGTGCCCACCTAGTTGAGGGCCTTCCTCTCTTTAACTGAATCTCCACCTTTCCAAATTGATGCCTTATCTTTGCATGAGAGTGCATAACAAGCTTTGGGTTTTTTGTTTGTTTGTTTGTTTGTTTTTAAGGCTGAAGAGTTACTGTGCATGCTGTTGGTGGTGTTAAGAACCTTTGAGTCTCAGGCGACTTAAAGTGACCCTATGAACCAAAGTCCTGGGCACGTCCTGTATAACTTTCATCCTTTCTCCAGGTTCATAGGGTTTCCAGAGGTAAGCTGTTGTGGAAGTGGATGCCACTCCTGCTTCCAAGCTTGTTTTAATCAGGGAGCTTCACCAAACACTGTCCGCCATGGGTAACCTTTCTCGCATTTGACTCATCAGTGTCAGTGTTCGGCTTCACAGCAACCACGTGTGCATACTATAGTTTATTCCCTATTAATAAACATATTTCACAGATGTAAACAGTCTGATTCCTGTGAAGTCTGTCAAATGAGGTACATATGTATAGTCATTGCTCGTGTTTTTATAAAAAGGCATTTCTAATTGACAAAGCATTGATTAAGCTTCTCCAATTGTTCTTTCCACAAATAGAAAACTTTCCTGGAAATCATTGATTATACAAAATTGAGCCCTGTTTTAGAAGGTAGCATTTGAGTGAAGGCAGTGTAGAGCCTGTGGCTGCATGTTAAGTTGTAGCTCCAGTTGAACAGACCTTCTGGTTGCCGGTGTGGAACAGGTGATGCCCGTCCTGGGAAGGACCCTACTGCCATGCACCTGTCTCTGCCAGGCAGATGTCAGAAGGGATAGAGATCCTGGTTGGCACAAAACGTGCTGTTAGTGACACTCACTGGAATGCTATGGTCGTCATACTGCTTCTCGCACAGCAGTGAGTCCACCCCTCTGACCACCCCGGAGTGTAGAGCGCATTCTTGAAGCTGGGAGTCCTCATCTCATCCAGGATGTTTCAGTCAGCCACTGTGATGTGAGAATTGGAAGGAGGTGGTGGGCAGATGCTAGGTAGATGGGCTTCTCTCAGGTATGTGCGCCTTGTCCAGGAGATTAAAATTGGATTTGTCAGAGTCAGACAGGACAGGATCGTGGTTGGGATGTAGAAAGACAGCAGGTACCAGCAAATTCTGAATGATTTTCTCACCTTGATCATCATCCCTGGAGAGTTTCCCCAAGACGATTATTTTGAAGTTTGCTGCCTTGAACATGGTGACTTCCCCAGATTGATGACACAGTGGGCAGCATTCACCACAGTGCACTTATTCATCCAGGTGCCACTGCACACACCGGAATCATGTGTCCTTGTGCAGGCTGCCCCCATACTGCCTGCTGATCCTCCTGTAGATGGC